GTGCACATAGAATGAATTAAATAGATCCAACTTAAGGGTTTTCGATTCTGTTGTGCTCTTTTACTATCTTATTGAATACAATAAAACATAGTAGATGATGGAGCTTTTAAAGACAAATAATGATAGCGATTTAAGTTATCTACAATATATTCATAGTGTCATTTTACATTAGTGACTACATTTCATTCGCTCAAGTAAAAATCAATATAGCAGCTTTTGTAATTTTTTTTTAAGTTATAGCTATTCTAAATTTATGAGCTTGAGGAACCAAATGAGGATAAACGATAAAACTGTGATTGAAAAATCACAGAGCAAAAAGTTACAAATACCAGTATAATCATGAAGAATTGTGACATTAACTGGCATCTACAAAGAAAAAATTATAAAACATTAAATCAAACTTTAAATCCTGAGTATAGAGCAGTATTTGTACAAGATTGAATAACAAGTATAGGCTAAGATCAAACGGAAACTTATTGTACTACAAAATAATGCGGTTAACACATTTAAATTAATGAAGTTTGAAGTGAGAATCAAAAAGTTTTTATAAAAGTCAGTTGCGAATGTTGTTAAACTCTTGTGTGGTTTCGTCCGCTGTCATAGATTTTCTTGTATATTTCAACGATTTACGGTTTTTGCATTCAATAAATGTTTCACCGTCACAAGTCAACGGGCAACATGTGTCAGTTTATCAGTTCTTGACAAGAGTCCATGAACAACAGCTTGGACATTGTTAAATGTAAAACTTAGTATGTATGCTAATCATTTTAAAAGAAATGGAGTTAATTTTTTCGTAGAATATTGTGGAGAATATGTCAGTAGTATATAGTCGGGTTAGAAATGAAAAACCCAGGTATTGATACACAATCCTGGGGTGAAAAAAAAAACAATTGGAATAAGGAAAAAAAAACTCGTGAAAGATATCAGGATTACAATTTGGTACGCAAGGCACGCGTTTCGTCTGAATAAGACTCATCAGTGACACTCGAATTAAATCTGCTTAAAGGCCAAATAAAATTCGAAGTTGAAGAGCAAAAAGTTGTGCCAACAACGGCTAAAACAAAACCTGGCTTTAGAAAACCAAAATGTTTTGACTAATTCAACATTTTATAAACAGTGAAGTAACAGAAGATACGTAATGATAGGTTGGATGTCACTTGTGCAGCAACAATTGTTGACCATTTTGGAGCACCTTAGTTAACCAGGACATGTTTTTGCGAACTTAAAATCATCTGTGCCCTTGTGGAAACTGTGCAAAATAAGAAGATATTCTTATCAGATACGCATAGGGAAACATTCAAATCATGACCAATATTATTATATGGTAATATAAATGCTAAGAAACAATTACTAAAAATAACCCCCTTTTCCTCGGAAACTGCACGTAGTAGTTTGGGAATGTGCTTGTAGCGAAAATTATATATTATATTTGGTGCGCTTTTGCACGTCGAAGAAAAAGCAAATTTATCTGAATCAAAAGTTAATATCAAAATGATCAAATCGGGAAAATAATCTTTTCTCGATCTTAAAATTTGGATATCATGTAACTTTGTATGAAGGCCATTATTGTTAACTATTAATTTTCATTTTATTATTATCAGTTTTTTTTTTGTTTGCTGTCTCATTGACGTGTCTTTTTATTCATACTCAAAAACGAAAATGAAGATGTTTGCTTTATCAAAATATATCATTTGCTTAATTACCTTAATTTATTTATTTTGCTATAATTTTCTGATATTGCTTTTATAACAAATAAAGGATGACATCCTCATAACCAATTATGATAATTTGCGAATAGTATATACTTACTTTAATAGTGCTGTGTCAAAGGTTAGTAACACATTTGATTTGTATACACGATCAGTAGTGGTGTGCTAGGACTAATATATTAGTTTGAGTTATAGTCTCAGGTGGTACGTAAGAAATTAAAATGTTAAGTTTTAAAAAAACGTTAGAAATTATTTTTTCTTTAGACTTGTGCATGGAAGTTGTTGGCATGACTAACTGTGCACCACTTATTGCGGACCTTTTTTTGTATTGCTATGAGTTACAATTTATGACAAAAATCAGCAAAGACCGATCGAAACAACATCTGATACACATATTTAATAATACTTTTAGATATTTGGATGATATTTTGGCTCTCAATAATGAGGACTTCAGTATGTATACTAAAGAAATTTATCCTGTTGAACTTACTTTAAATAAAGCTAATACTAACAATGACCACTGCCCTTTCCTCGATCTTGATATCTATATCATTAACGGAAAACTTAATACTAAAATATATGATAAAAGAGATGATTTTTCATTTCCTATCGTTAATTATCCATTTTTAGATGGTGACGTTCCCTTGTCACCATCTTACGGTGTTTATATATCTCAACTTGTACGATTCGCTCGTGTATGTAACAATGTTTTAGATTTTAACGAGAGAAATTTATGTATTACTGAAAAATTATTACACCAGGGTTTTCGATATCACAAACTAGTCAAAACATTTACTAAATTTTATCATCGGTATAAGGACATATCATTCGTAAATATAGCTCAACATGCAGACTTCTTATACGTTCAGGTATTTCACATCCAATTTTTTATGGAAATATTCTCTATAAAGCACAAAAATGTCAGTATTCACCTCTGAAGCTAACAAACCCTTTAAATAGACTTATTAAGAAGGGATATAGTTACGATACTGTTGTCAGGTCATTAAAGATTGCATATTTTGGCGTTAATATTGATTCACTTATAGGGTCATTGCATCGGCACTAAACACAATTATTTAAAAACCAGTTGTTGGCATGACACGGGTTATGTTCTTCTCATATATGTTATGATGGTATGATACTAAACCCCTAACGGGAAGGATTGTGCCTGATATTCATATGATGAAGACATAATCTTTCAATCAGTTTAATTGAAGTCTGGAGCTGGCATGTCAGTTAACTGCTAGTAGTCTGTTGTTATTTATGTATTATTGTCATTTTGTTTATTTTCTTTGGTTACATCTTCTGACATCAGACTCGGACTTCTCTTGAACTGAATTTTAATGTGCGTATTGTTATGCGTTTACTTTTCTACATTGGCTAGAGGTATAGGGGGAGGGTTGAGATCTCATAAACATGTTTAACCCCGCCGCATTTTTGCGCCTGTCCCAAGTCAGGAGCCTCTAGCCTTTGTCAGTCTTGTATTATTTTTAATTTTAGTTTCTTGTGTACAATTTGGAGTTTAGTATGGCGTTCATTATCACTGAACTAGTATATATATTTGTTTAGGGGCCAGCTGAAGGACGCCTCCGGGTGCGGGAATTTCTCGCTGCATTGAAGACCTGTTGGTGACCTTCTGCTGTTGTCTGTTCTATGGTCGGGTTGTTGTCTCTTTGACACATTCCCCATTTCCATTCTCAATTTTACATAAAGAAAATGAAATATTGCGGTCATAAAATTTTTGAGTACGATTATCGTACTCAGACTCAGAAATCAACCAATCAAAATACTGGATTTCTATTCCGAGCACAGTTTTTGTATTCCGACTACTGAGTTTAATGACCGAGAACCTTAATAAAACGGCAGGATCACATTTTATAACGTCATATCAGTACTTTACATGATTTTGCAACTTTTTTATCATCGTCAAAATATATTTGTTTCTAAAAAACAAAGCAGTGTGTAATGGATTTCATTGGCGCACTCCAATACAAGGATTTAATTCAACACTTTTTTTTTCTGTTTTCAGAAGGTACATACAAATGGAATGTCCTTTATGTGTTGATTCGTAAAATATATACTGACAACCACTGGCAAAAATATCGTGATACGGGAAAACTTTTTACTTTTTTTAAACTAATCAAATTTCAAACTTTATAGCTACTATTATATGGTCTTTATGATATGTGTAATGACTGAAAGAAGCATGTTAGTATTACATTGTATGATAGTTGTTACGTATTGAACTGCACATCCACTTGTTCAACGTGCGACTTACATTATTCTGGGTCATACTATACACCAGGTCAGATTCCCGTAACTGAGCGTACATATAGATACTGTATAGAGAACTATATTGTGAACGAAAATCATGTTTTGTAAGGATGCGATTTTTTTCAGATTTCAGATATACTTTAAATGAAAAAAATCTTGTGATATTTCTGATACTTATGGTGATCTTGATATACCATAAACATTGCCTTACTGTTTAATGAAGCAATGCAACAATCTCTTAAAAGAAAACTTCACATAACCTATTTTGTCGAAAGAGGTAGTATGTTTAATTGTATAGCTGAAGTTTTAATTGTAAATATTCTGTGTTTTTTAAAGAGTTACATAAGTCAGTAAAAATGTTATATCTAAGTTTGTATTGCACATTATGTAATTATCTTATCATTGTATTTTATATTGGTTAATGACACGATAATAACAATAATAATAATAATAATAATAATAATAATAATAATAATAATAATAACAAATAATAATAATAATAATAATAATTATTATTATTATTATTATTATTATTGAAGAATATGAAAAAAAACCCCAAATTTACAAAGAATTCGTAGAGTTAGAAGTGTTTCGAATCATCACTTGCAAGTTAACTGTAATTCATTTTAATAAATCAAAAGCCACAAATACCTTAGGTAATCCGTATCGATTTCATGGACAATAAAAGAATGACAGAAATTTTATTGGCATATGATCATGATAGAATTGCATAACCTGCATCCAGAACAATGTAATTCTCACCTTTTACAGGTATATGTGCATACCGATATGTAACAACTATCATAAAATGCAATATTGACATGCTTCTTTCAGACATGAAACATTAAACAGAACATATCGTACTGTATATTTATTACAAAATAATTGCTCGTAAATACTTCACCAAACGTCATCGGTGACCAGTTCTTGTATCTAACCAAATATAATATTTTAGATAGTCTTGCCAGCATGCTCGTCACATTGAAAAGTTGTGTTTCGATTTTCCATTAAATGATGAAAATAATAATTAATCTATTGGATTTTAGTTTAAAAGAAATATAATTCAATTAAAAGATGATCGGGGTTCTATATGCTGTATTGTTCGTTTTGATTGCAGATGTAAAAAGTAAGTTTTTATATATTTAAAATTTTCAGTATTATATACCCGTATTAATTTCTTCAGGGTATTTTTAAGCTTAACTGGTTTCATAATATGCATTTTTTCCATCTAAGTAATTTCCAACAGTTAACAATTCTAGATAAACTAAACTAATCAAACAGTATATACGTGTTAAAAACATATTCATCCCCCCCCCCCCCCAAAAAAAAAGATTTCTACCTAATCAATACATTAGAAATTATAATAAATATGTTTTATGTGTAATATTTTATATGCAAGAATTTTCTAACACCATAACATATTTCGAAATGTTCATGAAGTGTTATAGATTTAGTACAGGCCGATAGGGACATTCTACTTAAGTAAAATGTCTATATTACAATTTTCACATTTCTTACTTCAAAATTGTCATTTCTCACTACTGAGTTGTCATTCCTGAGTTTCAACTTGATATTTCTCAGTTCCAACTTGATATTTGTAAGTTCCAACTTAACATTTAGCAGTTACAAAATGGAAGTGAGAAATAAATCTCTGAACTGAGAAATGTCAACTTAATTTAACAAGAGAATGTCGCTACCGGTCTTTCTTTCGTATATATCATTTCACCGATTTAAACCAGAATCCGTTGTTTTTTCAAAGAACTATTCAATGAATTAGAAACTCTGAATATTTAACACAGGTACGATTTAACTTCAGACGCTTTTTTCCTGAATTGAAGTTTATTTCAAACAAAGTCTTAAAAAAACATTATATTAGTATTATATGTCTGTGTTCCAAATCAAGCAAACATTTTGAGATTTTACAAAAAATAACCAAAGCGCCGGTTAGCAGAACTATGTGAGTGCTGAATTATTATATCTGGTGTAAATTCTATCTGAGAAGAGTATACCCCCGGTAAATAACGAAAAATGCAGATAAGAGGGTTTACCTTGCGACATCATCAATTTCTGTCAGTCATTATATTAAACCTCATATTCTATTAACAATATTTCTTTCAAAAGCTTTTTATTAATATGATACATAAATTGTTATGTAGATGTATATATACCTAGCAATGATATGAAATTAGGAGATTTAATATAAAAATAAGAAGATGTGGTATGCCGATTGCCAATGATACAACTCCCTAACAGAGACCAAAAGTACTTTGGAGTTATTAACTATAGGTTACCGTACGACCTTCAACAATGAGCCTAATCCATACCGCATAGTCAGTTATAAAAGGTATAAATTCCAATGAGACACCCATGCAAATGACGTGGATTTCAGCATCTAAAGGTTACCCGTACGACCTTCAACAATGAACAAAACGTATGCCGTATAGCCAGCTTCAAAAGACCTCCCTACGTGACAACAAAGGTGTGCTACTTTTGTATTCTTTTATTTCTTGGAAGAATTTTCCGCCTTCGGTTATGTATATATATTGCATTGCATTTTCATTTACACAAATATATATGTAAACTATTGTGGACGAGACTCTTCGAATCTTCCTCTGCAATCTATTATGAACACAAATTGCTTAAACGCATTAAAAATAAAACCAAAATAGTCAACCTTATTGTTTATTACATAATTGCATGCACTCATGACATTTTATAGCAAAATGTATTACTCCATTAACTTCACTTGATCGGGTCTGTTTTAAGCGGCTACGTCACTCCAGCAAAGTAACTCATTTCTTCTCATATAGGCAATATATTACAAAACCTACCGACTCCTTATTAGTATTAACTCTAATTACATAACCTTGTCATAAACGTCTTATAGTTAGGTAGCAATTTTAGTAGATTTTACTAAGTAATGTCTGCCTAAAGGCTAAAAACGATAACATGCTTTTTTCAATAATTAGATTTAATTTAATTTTATTTACTATGTCCTTATTTGATTTTTAAGCACAAGACACGCAGAGGAGGAATCTTCTATTTGTGAGAAAACATGAGCCAACTAAAGATGGAACTTTACAAACAAAAAGCCAACAAACAGTAGTGATACCTCCAAAAACTGGGGGCCAAATTTCCCAGACAGATATCCATACTCCAAAACTCCCATCTCAGTTCGGAAATTCATTTTTACCGGTAGGGTTCCTTTCAAACCCTAATGTAGATAAAGCAATTGCACCAACTGTAAACAGTCCCATATCAACAACCAGTTCGGGATTTAATGGAATTACTCAATCCATCAACAGTCTTATTGCATCAGTAAACAAACACACAAGCCTATTAACGAAATCTATTCAGACCGATTTACAAAGGCAGACAAATGCTTTAACTGGTTTGATAAAAGCATCTGCAGAGAAAAAGATTAACTCAGTATTATCAGATGTTTTAAGTGGATTTCAAGGTGAAAGGAACGAAAAAAACATACCTGTGACTAATTCACTTTCGAATACTAACATTCAACCAATCAACAATCGACAACAAAATGTTAACGAAAATGGAAACATAGGAAGGCGTATACCTCTGGTTCTACGAAACTCAAACGCATTGGTACAACAGACAACAGCTGGGAGATCACCACCTCGCCAGGAGTCATTCAGACCTTTGGTCGTATCAAGACAACCAGCGCTGCCAGCATTGCGACCATTAGTTCTAGCACCAAGAAGTTTTTTATCAAATCAAAGAAATACTGACACAAGGTCAAGGACACGACCAGCCATGGATACAACTATCACACGAACAAGAATACCGTCAAATCCATCTCGTCAGAGATCTGAAACCAGAATGCTACAGTTACAACTTAGAAGACAGCCTACGGTTACTAGAAACAGATTAACACAAGTGCAAGTAACAAGACAGCAAATAGCACGGGGACGGAATACATCCACACAACGTCAACGAGCACAGACCAGACCAGTAACAAGACAAATGGTGCAGATGCAACAATCTCGTCGATGTCCCTCACAAGACGATTGTAGACCGATAGTACCTGCTTCGTGCAGACGAACTTCGTTTATAACAGATGACAGTGGAAGACGGTTGTGCAGAGGCTGTGATGAAGACAGGTGTGCATTTGCAGGATTTGAACAAAGATGGGGTCATGGATTTGGTTGAACGGTGCGTTGATTTTTTAAATTTAATCCAAACTACAAAGTAGAATAAATTTAAGATATTAAAATATTGTCTTTATTGTTTCCTTTTCTTTTACTTCACTTGATCATCAACAAAATACGAGTACCCATTCAGCAATAAAATGAGATTAGTGATTATTAATGTTTGACAACAAAAGCTCTCTATTAGAGATTTTGGCTCCAAAAGGAAACGTATGAACATTTTAAAAACCTATTAAGTATATAGTATGACATCTAAATACACATTAGGAAAATGCTGTAAACAAGGACTTGCAATGAAAATACCATACATCAAAACAACAAATATCGACATTAAATACATAATTTAAGAGCAAGAGAAGTTTTTCCCGCAAAATACAAATGAGAAAGATTTTATATAAATTTCTCCCACTTATGTTGCATGTTGCCAATGAGACAAGCTTGATGTTTTTTTTATTCCAAACTTTGTAAATGTTAATTTTTTCTAGTCCTTTTTATGTACACCGAGGTTAAAATTACTATGCATGTTCTATAACATTCGTGCCTATTTCTAAAAACCAGACGGGGTCCATCATAATAATGGTGATACAAGGTAAGAAATTGAAAAATATGAAATCAGTTTAGAAATCTCTTTGGAATTGTGAGATATTCGTTCCTAACGTGAATTTCATATAGAAGAATATATTGTAATTTCTAGAGTTATCTCCCTTTTGTACAGCATTCTGTATAATTCCTGGTGAACAGACGGATATTCCAAAAACAAATCTACAGTTTTTTAAAATTTGTGTTCTATTTCAAAAATTTTATCATATTAAAGTGTTTCGCCCCGTATCACTCACTTCTGGCTTTTATAAATAACTACGTAAGGAATTAATATTGGTGAATTAGGAATTAATATTCTTGAATAAAAATGTATAAAACTTCATAAGTAAATTTGATATTGATATAATCAAAATGATCTTTTATTTCAGATTGACTTTTTCTAGTGAATGATAGCACAACGCTTCCTGCTGAAGACAAAGAAAGGGGGAAACAATATTGTCTGTGTAGCTCTATTCGTCTGTTTAAAGATGAAACGGTGCTGAGAAAATTATATTTTTATACTGCTTATGTGAATAAATACGTTAAAAAATAAATATATGTAATTATAGCATATTGGCATATTCACCTGAGGAAAAAGTATATTCACCGCGCAAAACGTCGCGAGTATAATTATGATAAAATCGTTTGGTGTACAGTTGGTTTTGGTATAGATAATAGTATTTGAATACATGTTCTCTCTAGGAATACGCTGAAATGTCTCGCCTGTTTATTTCTTAATCATAATTGAATAATAATGATGAGGTAAAGGTTAAATGAACCCTGCCAGACAGACATGTTTGCCTTACAAGTATTTCATACATCAAATATAAATGAACCTGATAAACTGACAAAACCATAAAACTAACATTGAAACATGAAATAAAGGTCAAGATCATATGAAACCTACCAGACAGACATGTACACCATACTTTCATACACCAAATATAGTCACCCTATTGCTTATAGTATCTGTAAAAACAGACCAAGCCACAAAAACTAAACATTGTTCAATGAACAATGAAATATAGGTCAAGGTCAGATGAAACCTGCTAGTCGGACATGTACACTTTATTATCGTTCAATACATCAAATATAGTTGACCTATTGCTTATAGTATTTGAGATACAGACTTGACCACCAAACTTTAAACTTGAGCACTGTTCCATGAAATGAGGTCGAGGTCAGGTGAACCCTGTCTGACAAACATGTAGACCTTGCAAGGAACCCATATGCCAAATATAGTTATCCTTTTACTCATAATTGAGAAATTCACATGACAAAAAAATCTACACGTATTTTTATCAAGCAGTTGCTGAACCATGAAAATGAGGTCAAGGACAGTGGACATAACATTATATCATAGATCAAATTTATTTGTTCAGTGTATGTTCACTGGTGTTAATATGTCTTTTGATTGAGTTAAGCCATTTCAATTGATGTTTTATAGTGTGTCTTTTTCTATGTTGTGATGTTACACTATTGTTTCAGATAAGGGTGAAGGTTTGGTACCATTAAAACGCTTAAACCCTCTGCAATTGTTTGAACCTGTCCTAAGTCAGGAATCTGATGTTCAGTAGTTGTCGTTTGTTGATATGGTTCATAAGTGTTTCTTGTTTTTTTTTATATAGATTACACCGTTGGTTTTCCCGTTTAAATGGTTTTACACTAGTAATTTTTTGGGCCCTTTATAGCTTGCTGTTCGGTGTGAGCCAATGCTCCGTGTTGAAGACGGTACTTTGACCTATATTGGTTTACTTTTATAAATTTTGACTTGGATGGAGAGTTGTCTCATTGGCACTCATACCACATCTTCTTATATCTATATATGACAGACCGAATCTTCGTAATATAAGGTATCTACATACAAGGTATGAAGCATCCAGGTCTTCTACCTTCTGAAATATAAAGCTTTATTCAAATAGTTTACGCCGTCGACGCCGCCGGATTATAATCCCTATGTCTCGCAGGCGAGACAAAAATCGAGCACAGAGGACTTAGTTTTGATTATATTCATGCATTGGTTAAATAATTTCATTAACACTATAATAACCAGAAACTCGTTTTATACGACTTTTAATATCCATTGGCGTTTTGGGGAAACTCTGCATCTTTTCTGTAATTACAAGCTTTTTTTTACATTTCAACTGCAATGATTATAAGATTTGAGATAGCAGCACGTGCAATGTCAAGGCCTATCAAATGCAACAAAAAAAAAACGGTACATTTTCTTTGATTTACAAATTTCCTTTTTCTTTTCTTTTCTCAACAATGTGTGTTAAACTTTCTATATAAAATCTTAAGACAAAAATTGACTAGATGATCAACAGTGGTTGTAACTTTTGTTTGACTTCCGTATAAATATTTTCCCATTATGAAAACATAGTTTCACAATATTACGATATTCGAAAAGTCTAGTAAAGAACCAGTGAATAAAGAGATGTAATGTCTGTTCATTTGGGTCAATATACATAATTAGTTTCGTGTAGGTGGAAAAGGTTGCATTTTCCTCAATTCTACTACCCGTATCTTAAACTTGGATATGTGTGATGGCTCGTCTTTTTCGGGTACAAAGTGATATTCAATTTTCTTGAATTTTGCACACCTCGACAAATCCTTTGTGATGCAGCCTTTTTGAGGGAAAAAAATCTCTAGTTCCACCCAAGAAGTTTTATGGAAATTCAGTTCTTTGCAAATATTTTTAAAATAACAACTCCCTAGTTTTTACAACTTTATCCCAAGATCCTCTACTCTTTAAATCAGCACAAATGGCTATGCTCAGTGACTTATTAGAATTAGCAGCATGTGATTTGCACCTTCAGAATAAGAATTTTATATCTTCATTTTTCCTTTGTAAGAACACATAAAACAGTTGTGGGTTGCACAGAATGGAAATTGCTCTATACTGACCATTTGAATTTTTGAAATATGATATGTAAAACTTACTCAAACAATTCCATAATACTAGTAGTAGGTGCACAACTTCAACCTAAAGTGCAATGATTCTGTAAATTTTAAGGATCTAGGTTGAAAAAGTAGGAAGTGTTGATTGAATAAAAGTTGTATCCTATTTTATAAATTTTGCTGAAAATTGACTCAGTTTCCAAGTCTGGAAAAATGAGAAAAAAATCCTAAAACAATTCCATAATAGCAGGTGTACAGCTTCAACATATGTGCAATCCTCCTGTGAAGTTTCTCAGACTGGGTTGAAAACTATGTTAGGAGTTGATTACACAAGTTAGGTACCTATTTTCCCCGTCGTTCCATCCGCCAGACATCACCATGGCGGTTTTGGACCTCATCAAACCTGGCCAAGTATGGACACAACATTCAAGCTTGTTACAGCTCTGAACTTGGATTGTGATTAAATATTTGACACAGCATAGGTTTCTGACACAGAATGAATGTGGTCTATGAACTTAAAATTTTAAAAATTTGGACTTTTACCTATTATGGTCTAATATCCAAAATCAAAATACATGGTTAGATTCAGCATATCAAAGAACCCCAAGAATATTCATTTTTTGTTGAAATCAAACCAAGCTTAATTTTGCACCCTGATTTGGACCAACTTGAAAACTGGGCCCAAAACCAAAAATCTAAATACATATTAACATACAAAGAACCCCAAGAATTAAATTTTAATTTTGGACCCTTTGGACCTTAACGTGGACCAATCTGAAATCCAAGCCCTAAATAAATAAACTGTTTACACAGAGATATGTCTCGCCTATCAGCATAAAATTCAGAAAAATACAATCTGATGGACAGCAACATTGCTTATTAATTCAGTCACTGGACCATGATCTAGTGGGCAGGGCCTGAAAATGGTCGACAAACTGATATGTACAGAGTCAATAATGTAACTTTATAGAAAATATCTTTCTATATTGTAAGTAGTTCCTGTCAATATAACTTAAGCAGAAAACTTAACATTGAAAATTACTAATTAATTCAAAGTCACTGGAACATGTCCTAGGGGGCAGGGCCTCAAAATAGTAGTCAAACTGATATGTACTGATAGTAATGTAACTTAATACAAAATATCATTGATCTATCACAAGTAGTTCTTATAATACTGACTTAAGCAGAAAAATTTTATATTGAAAACTGCTAATTAATTCAGTCACTGGACCATGTCCTAGGGGACAGGGCCTTCAAATAGTTGTGAAACTGATATGTACTGATAGTTATGCAACTTAATATTAGATATCAATGATCTATCGCAAGTAGTTCCTATCAAACTAACTTAAAGACCAAACAGCCTATTGTTGATGCGCATCAACTAACGCAACTTGGTAGTGACATAAAAGCTCTATGACGTTGTTTCTAGCCATGAAAAAAACGTCAAATTATAACGTCCTATTTAGCGTTTCCAAAATGGTGTACGCTTAAAACTACGTCTTCCAAGAAAAGTGGAATTAAGCGTCGCGCTGATATCTAGTGGAAATTAAACACAAATGGACACAAAAGATACTATACTATCTGTAACCTCCGTTCTAATAAAAATAATGATAAAAATATAAATTTTGAACTCGGCTTTTTACATTTGCGCCGATCTGCATTTCACTTTTTTTCTTTCTCGTGTCAAAACGAAGTTCTCGAACAATATGACCAAAATTATCTTAAACATAAGGGAACACTGTTTATATCCATATATTACCATGCAATATACATTCTTGGTTTACAACATGTACATGTACTTACTCGTATAGCAATATAGTATCGGGGCTAGTGATAAAAATATTAAATAGGCGCTAATGAAAGAATCAAATCGGCGCAAATTAAAGATCGATTTTTTTTTAAATCGGCGGAAATCTCGTACGCCCGTGTAACTTTACACTGGTAAATTTATATGACTTACGCTTAGAACTTTAACTTAATGTGATTTTCAAAATTGAGTTTTCAGAAGGTTAGGCCGATAAACAATATTTTCTAGAAGTTTCGATATACTGGCAACGTATGCATGTTGAGATTAACTTATTTCTTTAAGATTCTCGTAAAATAATGGTGATCTTGCAATGAAGTTGAATTTTATCTATACTGCTTAATAGACAACATTTTATAGTAAAAATAAAAAGGATAAAGGTTCATTGTCTTTTGTCATTTGTGTCATTTCAAATCATTGTCTCAAGGAGAAATGATAAAGATTTCGCCTGATCTCACAGAAGCTTAAGGCAAAAAATATAAAAAATTAATATACTCAGTGAATGTGAATTAAAATAAAAATTTACGGGTTTTAAAACTAAACTTGTTGTAAATTTAACTTATAACAAAAACAATTGCTTCAAGAAAAAGATCCAACATAAAACTTCTCACTTTTAAAAAGCTACAATGATCGGAAAGATTGAAAACAAATTTCGATTTTCAATGCCGGCAATCTATACATACTTCGTCTATGTTTTAATATCCAAAATGAGCTATTTAGATTCATAATATTTCATCCTGTTTTGAGAAATACTTTATAGTTTTCCACGGAAAATTATTTCTTAGATTCTAAATCAATTTTTGAATTAAAAACTTATTTGTTTTATGTTTACTGTCTCGTTTATTCAAAACACGTGAGGTAGTAATAACGGGTATCGTATTTTATGATAGGTTAAATGGATGTAAAACGTTTTAGAATCAAAAACTTTAATTCATATATTATACCTATTATTTTAATTTTCTTATATTTTAAATATTCAGAAATAATGAATCCACAAACTAGATGGAATAATTTGTATACGCTCGTCTTAGTCGGAACACATAATGGTATAAAGAAGTCCGTCTGTGCTAATGTGTGTCCGTCTGTCAACAGAAACGAAAGAGTGCGCTAGGACAAAGTTCTGAAATTGACGCGACAAAAAAACCCAGTCAAATAGTCTGTAAGTTAGCCAGTGTCATCTTTCATTTCTCTTTTTATTTTCAATGATTTTGCTAATGAGAGGGAGAGGACAAAAACAGACTTTCCTTTCTAAAGCGTCGTAAAAGGTTATTTCGAACAATTTTTCATTCCGACGGATGGTGTTTCTGAAGGTTAATTTTGTGCGGCAACAACATCATGAGATCTGATACTGATACATACATGTGATCTCTTGTATTACTGGATAATAAAGTAGGTGTTTGATTCTTGAAAATTTAAATGTGGGTTTCAAACGTCCAATTTGCAATTTTTTTTCAAATAGTGCGCCAGCAAAGAAAACTTGTACTATGACGTCAGATTCAATGTTCTGAAGAAAGACAACTCTTTTCTTCAAAACGAACGAGAAAAAAACATGAAAATTAATCATAACTTTTTTGAAAGGTCTGTGACATATACATTTTGTTGCTTTATTTTGAAGAGTACACATGGCACTTTCCTTCTTGAAATTTTTATGAAAAAATCACTGGTAGATATTTTTTAATACTTGAAACGTTTTTCATTCTTGCCTTTTATTTTTGGCGTGAATGAAATAAATCATATTTTTTAAAATCAAAACAATAAGAGTCTTAAACTCTTGAACCTGTATTTGATAGACACAAATCTACTGTTTAACATGAAATAAGAATTATGCTTGTAGGTTTGATGTAATGGGATTTTTTGAGAGTTTAAATAACAAGAAAATATCATGTTAATATTCGGGAAAACATGAAACTGAGGTTGCTATAGTGACAAAACTAAGTCGGTGACCCCCAATTTTTTTTATCATATTTTGTTCCTCAAATCATGAAATACCTTCACACAAAATTTTAAGGAAAAATCACTGGTAGAACTGAACAGGCTGTTTGGTCTTTAAGCAGAAAACTTAACAATTGTTGACGGCGTCATTGGAAAAGCAATCCCAATGTCTCGCTTTCCGCGCCTTTCGTCGCAGGCGAGACAAAATCTAAATACATGGTTAAATTCAGCATATCAAAGAACCCAAAGAATTCAATTTTTATTGAAATCAACCAAAGTTTAATTATGGACCCTTTAACCCTTTAATGTGTGCCAATTTGAAATCAGGGCCAAATATAAAAAATCTAATTACACAGTACGATTTGGCATATCAAAGAACTTCAATAGTTCAAGTTTTGATGAAATCAAACAAAGTTTAATTTTGGACCCTTTGGACCTCAATGTGGATCAATTTAAAAACGGTGCCCAAAATCCAAAATCTAAATGCACGGTCAGATTCAGAATATTCAAGAACCCCAAGAATTCAAGACTATGAATTAAACCCCATTGAAATTGATAAAAAAATAAGCAATTTGTACAAAGTATTAGAAAAGTATTGTTTTTGGCCCCTTTTTCCTAACCAGTAAGGGCCATAACCCCCAAAATAAATTTCACCCTTCCTTTTTTGTCCTGGAAACAAGAAAAATGCTTGTATTTAGCCCCTAGTTCCTAAACAATTAGGACAATAATCCCCCAAATCAATTCCAACCTTACTTTTGTGGTATGGAACCAAATGGTACAATTTCATAGAGATCCATAAACTAATACTCAAGTCATTGTATGGAAAACAAATGTCTTTGGACTACAACAACGTCATACCATCATACAACTGCAAAAAAAATTTGCAGTCATTAAAAAGTGGCTAGTTCATGAAATTGCAATATGAGAACATATTGTTGAAAACTTTGTGATATTAGTGCAAAGAGGCATAACTCAGTTTATTTTCAAATAAGCCACCCCAGAAGATTTTATTTGCAAAATAAAAATGATAAATTGGACAATGCAGAACATTTTCCAATGTGGAATTTAGTTACTGGTTCGTGATTACGGATTATGAAGAAATATACAGGAAATAGTAACAGTTAATTTATCTATCATCAAGTTCTACTTTCAGTGTAGTGAAAGAAATTACATAACCAAAAGATAGTTTTTATGCATTATCACATGACCAAAAATCTTTTAGGAATACATGTCTATCTGAATAAGTAAACAAAATAATCTCATTAGAAATAAAAGAAATCAATCCAATCAAAATCAGATTTTCCACTTTGTGCCGTTAGATTTGTTTGCTGCTAGTGTACACAAGTGACAGACAAATCTAAATCAAAGTGAAAGATAGGATTTTAATGAGATTAAAAAGTAACAGTTAAAGAACTTAGTCATTGTTTGCAGACTTACAGGTTTGCCTTAAATCTCTGATCTTACAAATATTGAAATTATTTCTTAAAAGTGTCAAGTTTGGACAAAATTATACTTATTCATGGAAATGACTCTCTTCAATATACGTACTACCATAACTGTTTTCCCTTCAAAACCACAAGGAGTTTATCTGTCTTGAGGTACCACACTTTTTCCTGCTTACAATAAAGTTTTTGGATTAAATCAACTTTAAATATGAATAAAGTTTTAAGTCAGAACATGATGAAATGATGAATTTAAAATAAAAATATTAGGTCCAAATTGATTGCTGGTTGGTAAGAGTTGAAAAGAAAAGATTTAAAGTACATGTATTTATCAATAGCTTTACATGTAATTGACAAAACCTCAAGCAAAGGATAATCACTAGTATAGCTATTCTTCATTTCAAAATCATAGCAAAGCCTTCAATATGGAGCAAACAAATGCTCACATCTCTCTACATTTTCAAGATGACCCTTTGCACTGATTTGAATAGAATTCTTTACTATATTTTGATAATGCTACATCTATTCACAGAAGTACATTCAAGATACAAGTGTATAATACTATAATTATACTATACATTAATTGACTGATTGTTGCAGGAAGCTAGAGTGCCCAGAGAGAACCACTATCTTCAGCAGGAAAAGTGACTATCCTAGTAAATTATGATTAGAGTCAACATGGTCAAATGCACCTACCATATGACGGGTTCGAAGTCAAAACCTCAAAATCAGTGTTGACAGGCTAATGATTGCTGAAGATGAACTTTATAGACCACTTGGCTAGTGAGGCCCCTTCATGCTATACAGATTTCACTTCTGTGGCACTGATTAAAGTATTAAACATATATCAAAAATATCAAAACAAATAAATTATGTTTATTATCACATAATATTTACATGTTAACAAAGCAAAAGATAATATTATACACATTTCTATCATTTTGCTGAAAATAAACCTATTTAACAAGTAAAGTCTATTAAAATCAATATATCCATGTATCACATTTTTACTGCCAGAGAAATAGATGGCTTATTTCAGAATTAGAAACATAAAGTCCAAGATTTGACACAAAAATAGTTCCCTTACACCTAGTCTATGTTTGTGTGAAAATAAAACTGCAGCTAAAGGAATGATACATCTAACAAAACAATCACACTTATATAATCTAACACAATTTTTTGCATTATCCAAGGGATCAGTCTTAAAAAAATGAAAGATATATAGTTTAAAATATAGATGATTGATTGATTTGTGTTCAACGCCACTGTTGGCTATTTCGTGCAGCTGTTATTATTGATTGAGGAAGCTGGAGTGCCCAGAGGGAAACAGCAACCTTTGGTAGAGTAACTGAATGACAGAGATGATTGATTGATTGATTCGTGTTTAAAGCCACTTTCAGCATTGTTGGCTATTCCGTGCACCGATATTATTGATGGAGGAAGTCTGATGGCAAGAGGGAAACAGCCACCTCGGTGGGGTAACTGAATAACAGATATGATATATTGATAGCATTAAGTTCATTGTCCAAAAAAGTCATATATGTCTAGTTTTAAAATGCTAAGCTAACTTTAAAATTATTTTCCCCATTCTACTATACATTTCAATGAACATATCTGAATTCAGTAAGAATGTAATGTCAAAGTATATAGAAGATACAAAGTCATGGACAAAACGTTAATGTATGGTCAATTAACAAAATAAATAATCTGGTTCTGAAAATGCCCAAATAATTACAGACGCAAATCCATGGAAATCAACTCAATTCAAATTATTTTGGTTGAGCTTATTTCTAGATTTTCTTTGTCAATAAGGGAAAAACGGATTGTGCAATAGAAAAAAAAATCACCTAAACAGAGACAGTACCTTGCATTGCATATCGTAATCAAAGAGCATGGAACACGTCCAGGTGAGGACATCTCCGGTTAGTTTAAACAAATAACATGCATATGGAACAGTAACATAATCACTTATTACATGATAGAGACAAACACACTGGTTAAAGTTAATGGCCTGTTTTCAGCAATAAAAATGGAGTCACAATCAAATTAGACATACATGTAAGTGGTCGATTTATTTCATAAACTAACTAATGCAACCTCAATTATTCGTGGCAAACAACTGACTGCTCTTTAATTGCAAGACTGGTTTGCATATTACCTGAAAAAATCAGAAGAAAACTTAAATTCAATTGGGATCCAATAATGCCATGGCATCATAATTGCTTTCCAGGCATAACACTAATAACATGGGACTTGCACAATATTTTTTTATAGATAAAATCACACATTAAACCAGTTATCTTTTTTTCAAACACACATCCCTAAAGTCATAAAATTAATCAACTCTCCAATGTCAATGTAGGAGGTAAAGTGTCTGAAATTCAAACTTACATAACCTTTTCAAAGATCAGAATAATCAATAACAATTCAATCTATGTTTGATGTCAACACTGGTGAAACTTTGATGTGCATATCTGATACTGCTGTAATAATGACAATTTATTGTCTAATGGACAGATATTTTGTGTAACAGAATCATGACTTTGGTTCCTCAAATGATCCATGTGAAATGTCTGTCATCCTTGGGTATTTGATTTTTTTCTTATCAAGTTCTTCTTGTGACCACAATAAAAGTTTGACAAGATTTGCCAACTTCGGAGTAGAATCCATTTCCAATATGGCTGCATTTAACTCACTTGCCACCTGCCAAGAGAAATTGAAAACATTTTTCATCTGAACTATAAAATCAATATTTACATGGATTTTTGTTTAAATTTGCAAGTCTATCCTTGTTTAAGTGCAGTGTAAAAGAACTGCAGTTTGTTGGTTTAAGAAGAGTGCTCCTTTGAAAACTCCTTTGTTTTTGAGTAATTTTTATTCATAAATGTAACAAAAACAATGTTGTGTAAGTTTTAAAGACAAAAGCTTATATTTTATGTCTGTTTTCTCTGTCAGATTTGTTTGTTAAAAACATCCTGAAAATGTATAGTAGTATAAAAAAAGATTCCCTTGTATTATAAATCCTAAAACAAACTATGGTTAATGTTGAGATTGGTAAGTAGTGAATACTATTTTGTATCAAAACATAGGGTCTGATAATTCCCTAGCTGTATAATATAAGCTCCATAAGATGTTTGAGAATCATAAGCATATCACTGAATTTATCACATTTTCCTGCAGTATTTTGCCTTCATACTTTTGAGGTCATTACCTAATAAACCTACATTTTGGTTTCATAATCTACTTTGCCTAATACATTGAACTAACTACCTTTTGTCTTTGTGATGGATGTAACAGTTCACCAAAGGGAGATGACTCTGGATTTTCAAATGCTAATAAAGCTAATGTTCTTTCTAATTCAGACAATATTTCAGGGTTTTCATCTCCTCTCTCTGCCAGATGTGTCTGTGCATAATCTAAAGCTGACTCTATATTCTTCTCTCTTATGAGCTCTATTAAATGTTGTTGCTAAAATGAACAAAAATAATCAAAATAGGATTAAATAAAATTCTTTTCGAATTTCCTTTATATAATGTGGATTCATTTAATTTTCATAGGTGTCAATTTTTTTCGTGGTTAGAGAGAAAAAATTTCCAGTTCGAGCTATAGATGTTAAATTTGTGGTTTCAGCATTTGGCCCTATCAAATTAATTTTAAAATTGTATTTCATCAAGTATTTAAATATGTGGTTTCCCCATACATTTTTGCAATTTTTTTTCTTCAAAAATTGGAGCCACTAGACGTTAAGCAACCAACAATCAATCAATCAATCAAAAATTGGTATCCCACGATTATTAATAAATCCACAGTAATATGTAAATAAGACAATATATAATTGACAATGAGACAATCATCCACCAAAGATTTAAACAACTACAGATCACTGTATAGCCTTCAACAATGATCAAAACCCAGACTATAAGTTATAGGTTTATATGTACCAACTACTGTAACAATAAGTTACAATGCCAATTTTTACTCCATCAAACTTCCCCCCTTTGTTTGTCACCTTATACTAGAGGGTTTTTATTTATCAATTACAATATTTTTGTGAGTATTTTATTATTTCTGTGGTATTTTTGTGCTTTTGTGTATGCCCAAAAATACCAAAAATGTATTCTAAAAAGGGGCTTTAATTTGACTGTTAATGACATCTTTCCACTAAATCCATTGGAAGTTGGATGTGTACTGATTGATATCTGAGTCTTATATATATGATTTTCTTATTAGTTGTTATTGGCTTTGAGTTAGCTTTCAGTAACTGTGAGAACTCTAAGATCTGTATTTTGTGTCTTTTGTGCTTTTGTTAGCTGTTTTTGTACTTTGTATCAATCTGATGAGTTAAGCCCTTTTAACTGATTTTTATAGTTTGTTTTATGTTGTGCTGTTACACCACTGTCTCAGGTTAGGAGAGGGTTGGCACATCCACAAACATGTCTAACCCAGCCAGATTCTGAATGTGCTTGTCCAAAGTCAGGAGCCTGTAATTCAGTGTTTGTCGTTTGTTGCTGTATATCATATTGGTTTTTATAGCTTGCTGAGTCTCTGGTGAAGAGTTGTCTCATTGGCAATGATACCACATCTTCTAATTTTTACATCGGATGTGACCTTGAGAGGTCATACTGGTGTTATGTTGCCGCAGAAATTTCCTTGCCGTTTGACTGAACGTATTTCATATAATTACGCAGATATTATCAAGTGCAAAATAACATTCCTTATCGCTTGTTATATATTAATTTCATTAATAAATATTCATGAAAATAATTTTTAAGAACATACATAAATGTATGAAAAAGTTTTGTGGTGAGAAATATATATATCAATAACAAATCATGGATACCGAAAATTTGTGTTAACGCATGCGGCAGAATATCTCTAGGACGTTTTGCAACAAAAGCAGGAAAATATGAATGCCTACTTAAATCCAATCTATTAGAAAAATGAATTATTTCAGAAGAGTGTCCACCATGCACTTGCACTGCACTATCATTAGAATAGTAGAATAGAATGATATATAAATGGATGAAAATTTGCCTGTAGAGTTATTAAGATGATCTGCTATATATATATAACTGGTATACAAATATTCATATAATATATAACAACAAACCAGAGTATACTGATAACAAATGATTATATCACTTCAATACAATAAATATTACGGTGAGGTTGAATTCCCTGTCATTTATTCATTATCCACACAGGAACTTGTCTAAAAATATATCTATGTACCTTAACCTTACTTTCAGGTATAGAGATGAGATTTTTTTTCTGAGACAAGTGCTTGTGACCATCCACCAGAACTTGCGGTCATCCGATGTTCAGTACTTCAGTACTTTGATTATATTAGCTATCAAATGCATTTTCTCCAATTTGACTCAAATTTTAATATCAGATTTATAACATACTTAAACCTATATCAAAATTACATTTAGGTAATGCCAAAAAAATAAAACATCACCACATCTGCTCAAAATAAAGATTCTTCTATAATGATTTTTCAAAATGACTCATTATATAAGATTAACTGGTACCATGCAATAAAGTTGATGTAAAATTATGGAAAAGAAGAGACATTGATTAAATATACACATTAGACAAGTCAGTTTGAATATTGGCCAAAAACAGTAAATTTCAAATAAAAAGCGCTTTTACTCCTGCTCTGCATCTTGGCAGTTGATGATTGGTATTGAACTAAAAGCTACAGTGTTTATATCTAACAGTAACAAAAAGACTGGTAAAGATGACTATCATTCTTGAACTTTTAAAGATGAACTTAATATCAATATTTGTCTACTGTAATCAATAATCACAAGTTTTTTTCATAATTGTCATTAAATCAACTGTTATTTAAAACAAGCATTCTGAGAGTATTGCATGGCAAAACATAGTCCCCTACTGGTTAAAAATTCATTGTATTTGAACAAAATGCTAACTTGATTTATAACTTGTCATGGTGTAAACTAAATAACAAATACCAAGTCAATATCTTCAAAGCATGACGAAAAAAAGTGTTGAAAACTGATTATTCGAGTGAATTTTCTATGCCCAAGGACCATAACTCTGCACAAAATCATCAAACCGGAACAAAATTCGAATTTGATCTGTAACTTGTCATGATAAAACTATGTACCAATAATCAAATCAATATCTTCAAGCATGACGAAAAAAAAGTGTGGAAAATTGATTATTTGATTGAATTTTCTAAGTCCAAGGACCATAACTCTGCACAAAATCATCAAACTGGAACAAAATTCAAACATGATCTGTAACTTATCATGATAAAACTATATACCAATTATCATGATTATCAAATCAATATCTTCAAGCATGACGAAAAAAAGTGTTGAAAACTGATTATTCGAGTGAATTTTCTATGCCCAAGGACCATAACTCTGCACAAAATCATCAAAATGGAACAAAATTCGAATTTGATCTGTAACTTGTCATGATAAAACTATATACCAATAATCAAATCAATATCTTCAAGCATGACAAAAATAAAGTGTGGGAAAACTGATTATTTGAGTGAATTTTCTAAGTCCAAGGACCATTACTTTGCACAAAATCATCAGACACGAACAAAATTCGAACTTGATCTGTAACTTGTTATGATGAAACAATACACCAAATATCAAATCAATATCTTCAAGCATGAAGAAGAAAAGTGTGGAAAACTGATTTGCCGGACTGACGGACGGACAGACAGACAGATGAACGGAGTGCAAACTATATAGTTGAGAATTTTACCCCTGAGTTCCTCACATAGTTTTAACATAGTTACTACAAATAAACACTAAAATAACAATGACAAATATCCATATTGTTTGACTCTTTCAATGTCTTACAGTGGCCAGAGATGGGATCATCAAACCTTTCGGCTATTTGCAGTGTTCTCCCCAGGCCGTTATGACGCTGTGGTCCTGCAGCGCCTTCAAAATATTTTCGTTGATCCCGCAGCGCCTTAATTGGCCGCTATCCCTTAATACTTGATCCCGCAGCGTGTTTATTTTCACATTTTAATTATAAATGTTGGTTAAAATAGTCAAGTTGCTGATTACCGCTGAGAGGTCGGTCAATGTTGCCCAATAACTGATAACTAGCAAAAGTCTCTGATTTACCTGTTCCAGCCTTATCAGACTATGTAATCATATTATAGCGTAAACGAACATCAAGAAGATAGATATTTTTAGTAGAGAATAAAAGTTTTTAAAAAGTTCAGTGCAAAAATTGAAGAAATAGATCGCAAATACATTGTATTTACGCATCGTCTGTGTGCGATACTTGGCCATTTAAGTAACAATTTTTTCATTGGTCGAGAAGAAGGATCTATTTAAACACGACTAATGAACATGACGAATACTCGTGATAAATTTGAATACACATTACTAAAGAAAGTTACGATGAAATTTATGAATGAGAGTATTTGTACATCAAAAAAGTAAAATAAACTTTTATTAAAGATAACGAGGAGTGATTTATTTTATTAGAAAGTGAAAAATTGTTGCTTGCAAGTAAAATTCGTCGGTCAACTGTCACGTTTTAGATATAAAATAATTTTTCGTTAATTCGTCCATCGGCATCGGAAAATACATGTATATGAACGGAATCGCTGCAGCATTCGCATTTGTATAATGTCACTAGTAAAGGAATTTCACTGGTTTTAACTTTGACGAATTTGTCAATTTTCGTTTATACCTAACGTTACCTGACAAAGAAACGTTTTGACAATTATACACACAGAAGCGTAATGTCAAACTATGGAAAGTGGTCAGCTGGTGCATTACATTTTTTTTTGTTTTAAAAAAGTTGTATTCCAAGTGTTCTTAGCAAAGAAAAAATAGGTTAAGCGAAAGGCAGATGATGTTTTCAAACCTAAAGAGTATAAAGACTGAGGAACAGGCTGTCCAACAAAATTACAAACTGTCTTGTTACTATATCTCTAGAAGGAACAGAGAGTAAAGAAATAAATATTTTGAAGCTGTTCAGAAATATAGGGCCCAGAAGAACATGAGGATTTTTCTTGAACTATATATACATTTTGACTTAATTGACTGTGATATAAATGCTTTTTGTGTTTAAAATGAATTTATTTCATATATATATTCTTATTCTTTATCATGTTTATTAATACTGTGCATTATTGCATGTAATGATTTATGACCGATTGCTTCAGGTCACAATAGTTCCCTCTGAAATAGAGTTACGCGCCCTTGAAATTTTGTGCCTTAAAAAATTTCTGGGGAGAACACTGATTTGCATTTAGCATTTAAAAAAACCTATCAGATGCTTTAAATCAGATTTAAATGTGCATCTGAATGCAGATTTACTACTGTATGCAGTATAAATGTGCAGGGATGGAAAATTTCCATTGACCTATATGCCAAACCTCACTCAAATCTTTTTCCCAGATCTTGTTTATTCCACTGTAAATATTTTTGATTGTTAAAAATCAATGGATGCCACTTGTTATATTTGTCTTTCATGTATTTTTATCTGCAGTATACTCATTAATTACATTATTATACAATTACCTGCAAATGAAAATATAGATATCTGTCATTATCTAATAATTCTGGATGGATATTATTAACTAATGAAATTGCATCTTCAATTTTGCCATTTTGTATTGCATCCCTGATTTTGATTCGTTCATCCATCTGGTCAAGATCTGCTGTTGGCTGTACTCCTGATTCCATTCGGAACTTCTCAGCAGCTTCTTTGAAACCCTCTGGAAATAGAAAAAAAAAAAAAAATGTCTTTCAATAAAAGTGTCATGTTTTGAATCATTTTGATAACTACAAGGTTTAGTATTATAGGCATTCTATTTCCCATTTCAGTGATTGTTTTTTTGTTTGTTACAAAATTCAAATATATGTATATGTATTTCATATACCTATATGCCTTTTTAGACAATACTACTTATATTAAAAGATAATACAGGTGTACATGTATAACAACCAATCAAATATCTGTAAGAATTCTCCTAATTTACATAGCCATTCAAACTCTGATGAGTACTGTAAATTCAGAAATTATTGTGAGGTTTTTATTAATGCGAATAATGCGATTGGGTGAGTATCGCAATAATATGAACACGCATTCTTAATTTCGATACATATATTTGTATGCAGATTTTCTTGAAATCGCAATAATTAATCTCGCATATTTGTCCATTCTTCACAAATCGCAAAAATAAATGCACGCAATAATTTCTGAATTTACAGTATTTGGTGAGCAACAGATCTAATCATCTACATTTATAAATTATAAAATGCCCCAAAAATGAAATTGCTTTAAAGGTCATATTCACTGAAACATGATGGATTCAAATTAACTAAAAGATTCTGTGTGAATTTATTCTATCCCAAATCATCCTTTCAAGCAGACCTGTAGATCATTCGATCTTTCGTGATCTTAGATACTTATTTCAAGTTCTACATAACAAGATACATCTTTCTATGTACATTTTATTATACCACTGATCAAAATCAAAGGGGGGAGATTGAGATCTCCAAAAAAGTGAATACCTGCCATAATTTCCTGGGCCTGCACTTAGTAAGTCAGTTGTTGCCTCTAGTTATTTCTGAATATTTTTTTGTTCTTTAGATAATTTGGTGTCAATAGCAGATCTTTTACAGTCTCTGTCTAATTTATTTACAACTTTTCAGACTTAGGGCCAATTGAATCTTGACATATTGGGTATAGATTTGTCTTTTGTTGAAAACCATATGTTGAGCTCTAATTGTCTTTTGGCATTTTTTGTGTTATTAATTTTTTTCTGTGTTATTTGTTGTGCACACCGACATACATGTATCAATTGTTAATCTTTGCTTCTACAGATAAATGACTATAACAATTACTTCATACTAACAGTGATCCCTTATTATTAAAAAAAATTATTATTTAACAATACTTTGAGGAAATACCTGTGACTAAATAATTCATTATAAGTTTATTCATGTCTCCTCTTGTTACTTGAACTCCCTGGAGGCGTTCTAACCATTCATCTTTGGGAATTTCTTCCAGTTTTTCTGCTGCCGCACCGAAATTCATCTTGCGGGTAACATACCTGTAGGAAATTAAATATATTTTCTATTATTAATGAAAAGAAATGTACTTTAATGCAGTTTTTAATAGACTAGTCTATCAGCGTGAATGGTTTTGACAATCTACATGTAAATGTGTAAAAAAGTCTTATGAAGAGTTCTTTCACAAAAGTACAAAGTGCAGCATAAATAAAACTCAAAATGCCTGATTCAAATTAATTCTGAAAATTGGTGTTAACAATGTTGTACCATTCTAACTTATGCTTTGTTTTAAGATATACTTTATTTTGCATACTATGCTTTCAACTTTTATATGTCATCTATGGTATCTTACCATGCACTGTGTTTAAAATTGTGTTGTTTTCAGGATTTTTGTATGTGTATAAAGATAAGATGTGGTATGATTGCAAATGAGACAACTCTCCACAAAAGACCAAATGACACAGAAATTAACAACTATAGGTCACCATATGGCCTTCAACAATGAGCAAAGCCCAAAGCAAAATAATGAACAAAAAACAAATATTTTACACAGCAACAAACAACAACCACTGAATTACAGGTTCATATAAATTTCGTTATTCAGTCGATTTGAAAAGCTTACTAGAGCTTGTGTTTATGTAGTTTATTGAATATCGACTTAAATAAAACTTTGATTTGATATGATTTGGTTTGTGTGTCTTGTATATTATTTTAAAATATCTTTATCATTTGGACATAAGAAAGGCCCTTGTTTCAGAGTAGATTTATGGCAAAATGACTTTTTTTAAGTAATATTCCTTTTCAAAACAATTAATGCATATATCATATGATAAGTACAAAATGACAAAGTATGAACAAAATCGACTGTGGCCATAACAACTATGACCGAACTGGTTGTGTGGCCAAGACACCTTAATAACTTCATTAACTTTAATTAAGTATTTGTCTTGTCTTGGTCCTAAATATTTTAGCGCTCTTTCTTATTTTGAATAGTGCATGATTTGAATGATTTTGGGAGCTTTCGTCAAAATAATTCACAAAAACACTAAAGGAACCTGGTTACGTTTTTATTCTAAAACAGTAAAAAACTTATTTTCTTAATGTTTATATTCAAAACAAAACCTTTAGAAGGGTGTGAACGGTCTCAGGGTGCAAACTTTTGGGGTGTGAACGTGAATGGTGGGCAAATGTGATTTTGGGCGAACTGACTCAGATTCTCTCGAAAGAATGTTTTCTTATCAAATTAAGCCCCTCTTATTTTCTGCGTTACAATTGGATAAAGCAGAGCAAGACAAGAACCATAGTATATATATAAATTTCTACATGCAAATTGTCAATGTTTGATTTAAATAGGTATTCTCTGGTAAATAAATAAAGTGTGTTTTTTCATATGGTCTTTGTCATACTCATAAATTCATGTGCAAAATTATCAGTAGAACTGAAAAATGGCTTGACCTATAGAGTCTACTGAATGTTCATGTGTTTTTTTTTGGGGGGGAAAAACAACAACTGTAAAATGAAATTTACAAAGGGAGAGATAACAAATCAAAATATAAAGAAGTCACCAGTTCATGCTCATTGTTTTGAAGTAACCGGAAGTTTACCACAGAACCGGAAATAAACAAGTATTAGTCTGTTGAACCGGTTTTGACGTGACATTCAGGACAAACACTTCACGTCTGGATACAATCCATGAATAAGACAACTAGATTGTAATATTTTGGACTGGAATGCATTAGAAAACTAGGAGTTTTACTTCGTAATTCTTCGCAGTGCTCCGTGACAACGCCTCGGAAAAAACAAGATGGCGCATATTTGTACATAAATTCTGATTGAACTGTCAGATGTGATGTTGACCTGGAAATTTACAATGATGGAGACAAGTTAATTATATTTTAATTTGAGCCAAAATGGCAGAAAGGTAATAATTTCAAGACAAAAAAATAGAGAGAGAAAATAGAAACAAGTAAAAAGATGAAAATCATTTTTATTGATCAAGCACCTGCTCTGCAGCTGCAACTAGTTTTAATTGCATTCCAGAAGATGATACATGTATCTTCAAATTGATTTTTTATTACACAAATATAGACAAGTGATCCTTTTCTTTTGTCAACACACTGTGTAACACACTAATTAATATGAGGTGATTACCTATTGACTGTCACAGTGTCAGTTGAACTGGTGCTGAACCTTTTCAGTTAATTAAGAAATAGCTGCATCTTTATACATATACATATGGGTTGGTGGTCAAGTGGTTAAGACCGATGGCTACAGTGCTGAAGGTCTTGGATTTGATCCTGACTCGTGGCGCTGGAAATTTCAGTACATTAGAAGGGTTACTTTCACCCTCCCATACACATCTCTGGTATCCAGACTGGAGTTTAAACTAGAATGGGTACTATGGGGCCTCGGTTTTTCAAAGTGGCCCCCAACTTTGAACAGGAGATCAATTTTCAGATATATCTTCGGTTTGTCTTTTCCCGCTGTCTGTTGCTCAGTGGTTCTCTCCGAGTACTTCATCTTAGGCTTCCTCCACCATATTAACAGTAAATCCCCCCCCCCCCCCCATGAAGTTGCACCAATAATATGTTTAATTTTACTTCTTTTGGATGCTATTACTTGACTGAGTACCAGGATGTCCTACCTCGAAAAATTATATAATCCTGATTCAAAAGTCATTCATATGAAGAAAGTCTATTTGAAAAGTAGACTAAATTTTTTTTTTTGCACTTTATTACATTAGGGGATTAAAAATGGAAACTTTATTCCTCTTCTGTTCATTCTATTGTCTGGAAAGATCAAGGAGCTCTCCATCATAGTTTATCAAAGCTTGTTTAAATTTGTGGAGATGTTGAATGTGAAGAAAGATTCATGACTGAACATTTATAAAGCGAACTATTTAAGATTCCTGTGGGATACAATGTATATATATATATTGGTCAGTGGAAAGTAACCCAACAACTAAAAAAGAAAAGGACAACTTTAAGCTGTATATAGATATATGTATGTGCTGTGCTTTAAATATTAGGTGGATACTTTTAACCATGATAACTGAAATTTTTTATTTATAAAGCTCAAATGCCCGGTAAAAAAAGCGCAAATGTCCTGTAGAAAAAGCCCAAATGTCCTTAAAAAATGCATAAATGTCAATTTAAAAAAGCACGTACAAATGTCCTATCAAAAAGTGCAAACGTCCCGCGCATCCAATATATGCCGAAGATGTTAATAGGGTAATTAGGAAGGCCCTCTAACATGTCTAAATTATCATACTTTGCCTGATTGGCAGTTTTATTACTGGAAATTAAAGCATTGCAAAACAAAAGTCAATGTGAAATGATGTTGAAAAATACTGATCTCAATGAAATGGCTGACATTATTTCTTAAAATTTTTTTGATGACCAAGTTTCAGTTTAGGTAATGTCCAACAAATATGACTGTTTCCAGGCCTTTGGTCCAAGGTGAAGGGATGGTTGTGCGCTTACAAACCTGTTTAACCGAATCTAACTTCTCTATGTGTCTGTCCATAGCCAGGAGCCTAAAGTTAGGAGGTTTCTGTTGGATGCCATCATTGTTTTTTTTTTAATTTAATTATATCAAGGTGGTAAATTTTATTTTCTGAATTGTTTTACATTTTTATGCCCTCGCCGTAGCAGAGGGGGCATTAAGATTTACCCTTGTCTGTCTGTACGTCCGTCCGTCCGTACGTCCCAAAGTTGGTTTCCGTTCTCTAACATTAGTTTGCCTCCAACAAATGTTATGAAACTTATATACAATGCTTATTACCACATAATACAGATCAAGTTTGAAATTGGGTGGCGTCACTTTTACCGTTCTTGAGTTATGTCCCTTTATAAACGTAAAAATTTCTAAATTTTTCGTTTCTGTTCTCTAACTTTAGTTTGCCTCAACCAAATGATATGAAGCTTATACACAATGCTTATTAACACAAAACTCAGATCAAGTACAAATGTGGGTAGCGTCACTTTTACCTTTCTGCAGTTATGTCCCTTTATATCTTTATATGATATGCAAGTGGGGGCATCATCTGTGCCCCATGGACACATTCCACATTTATTTTATCTAGAGGCCTTTTAAACATGTACTCATGAAGCCTACATTTTGTACTTTACTGTATTGGTTTTTGCAAATTTATGAAGGTCATATGATGACCTACATGTGTATAGTTGTTTCATAATTTATTCTTGTCTTTTAGTCTTTTGTGGGTACAATGTAGTTATCTCATTAGCTTTTAATTTTATACTACATCTCCTTATTTCTATGCATGCCATGCCATTACCTAACAATGTAAGTTGTATGATACATCAAGTAAGGGGGCATATTAATTTCCAGTATGTGAGTCTGTTTCTTCATTTCATATCAGGATAAAGGTAATTTTTTCCCCATAAAGAAGTAGTCACATGAATTTGAAACTTAGTACACAAGTACATGTTACATTATTTGATGGTCATTATGAATTAAAAAAATAATATGTTGAATTGGGATTTTGACCCAGATTTCACAGTTTGGATCATGCAAAAGTTTTGGTTTAAAGGTAGGTTAAAGTTTTGGTTCAAGATACTGTAGTTTACTATGAAGTTACTGTCTCATCAAATAAGACTTTTAACCCAGGTTTATTGTTCACAGATAAATGAAATGTAATAGTGAAAGCAGGGTTTTGGTGTCCTATGGACATGTATACTTGTTAATATATTTGATATGTATTTATGTCTGGCATTAGACAAAGTTGAAAAAGCCAGATTTAGACATGCTGACCCTGGCGGTGTCAACAATGTATTAGTTTATGATTAAGTCAATTTATAGGGAACCACAAGTTCTAGGTCCATGATATTTTGTATGCAGTTCAACTGTTGTATTGGCATTGGCACATCTCATTTCATTGAAGATTATTTGGCTCTGCGCTCCTTAGTCATGGTCTATTGACTGAGATTTTTCTTCGTTTAAATGTATTAGTTCATGATTAGGTCAGTTTAAGTAAACCATTTGTGGTACATGTAGGTCAGGGAAATTTGGGGTCAGGGTCTATCGTCTGAATGTTCCTTTTAATTTCAACATTTGCATTTTACTATCAAACTTACAAAAAGTAAAACATATGTATTCCCTGTCAACAGGGAAATGAATGCTTCTTTTTATAATTTTATTGGGGTGTAAAAGTGTTGACCGAAGCACATTTTGTATGAAGCATGGAAGTGCTTCATTCTAAAAATGTGTGCACGATGAACACTCTTACACCCTAATTAAATTACAAAAAGTTATAATTACAGTTTTATGCTAATAAGACCATGAAAAAAGTTTTATCAAGTTTTTCTTTTATTTACCTGTGCATTTTTAGCTCACCTGGCCCGAAGGGCCAAGTGAGCTTTTCTCATCACTTGGCGTCCGTCGTCGGCGTCGTCCGTCGTCGTTAGCTTTTTACAAAAATCTTCTCCTCTGAAACCACTGGGCCAAATTTAACCAAACTTGGCCACAATCATCATTAGGGTATCTAGTTTAAAAAATGTGTCTGATGACCCCACCAACTAACCAAGATGGCTGCCATGGCTAAAAATAGAACATAGGGGTAAAATGTAGATTTTGGCTTATATGTCTGAAACCAAAGCATTTAGAGTAAATCTGACATAGGGTAAAACTGATTATCAGGTCAAGATCTATCTGCCCTGAAATTTTCAGACAAATCTGACAACCTGTTGTTGGGTTGCTGCCCCTGAATTGGTAATTTTAAGGAAATTTTGCAGTTTTTGGTTATTATCTTGAATATTATTATAGATAGAGATAAACTGTAAACAGCAATAATGTTCAGCAAAGTAAGATCTACAAATAAGTTGTCATGACCAAAATTGTCAGTCGACCCCTTTAGGAGTTATTGCCCTTAATAGTCAATTTTTAACAATTTTTTGTAAATTTTTGTAATCTTTTACAAAAATCTTCTTCTCTGAAATTACTGAGACAAATTTAACCATACTTGGCCATAATCATTATTAGTGTATCTAGTTTAAAAAATATGTCCGATGACCCCGCCTTTCAACCATCATGGCCGACTTGGTTAAAAATAGAACATAGGGGTAAAATGCAGTTTTTATACGACCGCAAAAAAATTTTTGTGGTCGTATATTGGTATGACGTTGGCGTCGTCGTCGTCGTCGTCCGGCGTCGTCCGAAGACACATTGGTTTTTAGCACTCTAACTTTAGTTTAAGTGAATGGATCCTTATGAAATTTTACCACAAGGTTCAATACCACAAAAGGAAGGTTGGGATTGATTTTGGGGGTTATGGTAATAACAGTAAAGGAATTAGGGGCCAAAAAGGGGCCAAAAATAAGCATTTTTGTAACTTCCAGACATAACTTGTGTCTTAGTGTATGGATCTCTCTGACATTGTACCACAAGGTTCCATATCACTAAAGGAATGCTGGGATTGATTTTGGGGGTAATTGCCTCCAAATTTTAGGAATTAGGGGCCAAAAAAGGGGCAAAAAAACAAGCATTTTTCTAGTTTCATGACAATAACTTGTGTGTAAGTGTATGGATCTTTCTGAAATTGTACTACAAGGTTCCATATCACAAAGGGAAAGCTGGGTTTGAGTTTGGGGGTAATTGCCCTAAACATTTAGGAATTTGGGGCCAAAAAGGGTTAAAAAAACACATTTTTTTCTAGTTTCCAGACAATAACTTGTGTTCAAGTGTATGGATCTCTCTGAAATTGTACTGCAAGGTACCATACCACAAAGGGAAGGCTGGGATTGAGTTTGGGGGTGATGAATCATAATGGGGGTTCAAAAAATTTTGGGGGGGGATTTATTTTTTTTTCCTTTTTTTTATTTTTTTCCTTTTTTGTTTCTTTTAAAATTTTCCATTTTAAGTTGGTTATTTCTGATTTATATTTAAAATCAAATAATAATGATATGGTAGGAGATACACACCAAACAGGATGTGTAAATTATTATATAATAAGTATTGTGCAATAGCAAGAAATTTTCAATTGCACAGTATTGCACAATAGTTAGAAATCTTCAATTGCACAGTATTGCGCAATAGCAAGAAATCTTCAATTGCACAGTATTGCGCAATAGCAAGAAATATCCAATAGCACAATATTGCGCAATAGCAAGAAATTGTCAATTGTACAGTATTGCGCAATAGCAAGAAATATTTAATAGCACAGGATTGTGCAAAAGAAGATACTTCCTATAAATTGCTTATTTCTTGACCAATTTCAATGGGGTTTTATTCTTGATTTCATGGGGTTCTTTAATATGCTGAATCTAACCGTGTATTTAGTTTTTGGATTTTGGGCCCCGTTTTTAAATTGGTCCACATTGAGGTCCAAAGGGTCCAAAATTAAACTTTGTTTGATTTCATCAAAAATTGAATTATTGGGGTTCTTTGATATGCCGAATCTAACTGTGTATTTAGATTCTTAATTTTGGTTCCGTTTTCAAATTGGTCTACATTAAGGTCCAAAGGGTCCAAAATTAAACTTAGTTTGATTTTAACAAAAATTGAATTCTTAGGGTTCTTTGATATGCTGAATCTAAACATGTATTTAGATTTTTGATTATGGGCCCAGTTTTCAAGTTGGTCCAAATCGGGGTCCAAAATTAAACTTTGTTTGATTTCAACAAAAATTGAATATATGGGGTTCTTTGATATGCTGAATCTAACCATGTATTTAGATTTTTGATTTTTGGGCCCCGTTATCAACTTTGTCCACATTGAGGTCAAAAGGGTTCAAAATTAAACTTTGTTTGATTTCATCAAAAATTGAATTATTGGGGTTCTTTGATATGCCGAATCTAATCGTGTATTTAGATTCTTAATTTTTGGTTCCGTTTTCAAATTGGTCTCCATTAAGGTCCAAAGGGTCCAAAATTAAACTTAGTTTGATTTTAACAAAAATTGAATTCTTAGGGTTCTTTGATATGCTGAATCTAAACATGTATTTAGATTTTTGATTATGGGCCCAGTTTTCAAGTTGGTCCAAATCGGGGTCCAAAATTAAACTTTGTTTGATTTCAACAAAAATTGAATATATGGGGTTCTTTGATATGCTGAATCTAACCATGTATTTAGATTTTTGATTTTTGGGCCCCGTTATCAACTTTGTCCACATTGAGGTCAAAAGGGTCCAAAATTAAACTTTGTTTGATTTCATCAAAAATTGAATTCTTGGGGTTCTTTGATATGCTGAATCTAACCATGTATTTAGATTTTGGATATTGGACCATAATAGGTGAATGTCCAATTTAAAATTTTTAAGTTCTTAGACCACATTCAATCTGTGTTAGAAACCTATGCTGTGTCAAATATTTAATCACAATCCAAATCCAAAGCTGTATCAAGCTTGAATGTTGTGTCCATACTTCCCCCAACTGTTCAGGGTTCGACCTCTGCGGTCGTATCAAGCTGCGCCCTGCGGAGCATTTTATTGGTTTATATCTCTGAAACTAAAGCATTAAGAGCAAACCTGACAGGTGGCAAAAATGTTCATCAGATTTAGATTTATCTGCCCTGAAATTTTCAGACGAATACGACAACCCGTTGTTGGGTTGCTGCCCCTGAGTTAGTAATTTTACAAAAATTTTGCATTTTTTTGTTATTATCTTAGATATCATTATAATATCTAATACTATTAATTATGATTTTATCCTTATTTTACATGATTTCCAAAGCATCAGTAAATACAGGTGAGCGACACAGGCTCTTGAGAGCCTCTAGTTTAATGGAAGCACGTGTCATCATGAATGTAACATTTCATTTTGATATGAAGATTATTTTTGAATGACGTGCGATTGTTGTTAGCCAATCAAACTAACGGATTCTCGTGAAACACACATGTAATGCAATTATATATAGTTGTGGAAATATTGGCATTAAAAAGAGGGTGGTCTTTAATTTAAATCATGTCCTACTTTACTGCTTTTTTTTCCCAATAGTCCATCACATTTGTATGTGCAGATTATGAAAAATGTTTCTCAATATTAATAAATGGAAATAACTTGAACCATGCAGTATGTAAAATGTTTATGTATTCATTGTGTCTCACAGTCTGGAAATGTTTTAACATGGTTTAACAGAACAGAGACAGTTTGATTTAAAGAAATACAGAACATGGTATGATGTATTTTGATGCAATACATTTCATGAATTTAAAATAAATTGTACAGACATACATACAATGTTTAATGGGCAATTCACTTAAGACAGGTGGCTAAAATTGATACTGATCTGTAATGCTGATGGTTGGAGTATTGTCCATTATTTGTAGGCATTTTAAATTTATTTACCGCTCTGCACCTGTTTCTAACTACATGTATCTGCAACCAAAATAAAACATTATACATTTTTGTTCAATAAGTCTCATTATTATTTGTAAGATAACAAAAAAACAGGAAAGAATATCGTAACATTTCTTCCTGTTTTCTTAGCTTTACAAAATGCATTTTCTTAACAAAAAGATTAACAATTTTTTTCAATTTTTTTTTTAATTTAAAACAATTATTCTTATTGTTATTTTGGGGAAGATGGATCACCATCTGTCCTTGTACCCACAGGCAGTTGTAAGCTGTCCTTGTACCCACAGGCAGTTGTATGGCTCCTTCAGAATTTGGTTCTGGACTTCAAATCTTCTTCTTTTCCTGTAGTTCCTTAGACTTTTGGATGTTCTTGTGAAAAAAATGGTAACATTAAAAGCTTATATATGAGCACTTCGATTTTCTTTATTTTATCACTTGGCTGCTCATTTATATATATATATATATATATATATATACAAGTCTAAATTGAAAACAACGTTCAAACCTATGATTGCGTTGGATAAAAACCGCAATTTTTATACATGTGCATGCATATATATATATATATATATATATATGTCATATATCAGCTATAGTTAGAGGATGGGATAAGGCGTCTGCGCAATGCTAGGCAGTGTTAACGTTGTAGATGTATGAAGTGAAAAGTACAGGTTCCAGCTCAGGTCGGGAGGAAGTAAAGAATCAGATCTACTCTAACATTGTTAGGTTGATTTTCTAGGCACTTTATAAATATTCTAACGCCTGGTATTTCTTAATCATAAGAAATCCGATGGACAAGGTATAATTTACAGTTGTCACTACATATAGGCAGACATATATGTCAAATATTCATGTATATTTTGTTGTCGACTTATTTATACTTTTAATTTCAAAACTAACCTTACCTACCTGCATTCATATTGACTCTGGTGGATAGTTGTCTCATTGGCAATCATACCACATGTATCTCCTTTTTTAAGTGATTGACTTTTTGTGTTAAGAAATGTGCTGCAATGGCTTTCAAATACTAAAAGCAGAAGTGGCATATGAATTTCAAATAAGCGTTAAAACATAGATTAAATTTTTTATGTTATTTGCAAATGTATGTGAATAACAGTAACAGAAATGATGTTTGCAGAATTTAAAATAGATTTTCATAAAAGTAGTAAACAGAATTACAGTGTAAACTTTAAACTTAACTGTCAACAGAAGTGTTACATCAAAAGTGATTACCTTGAATATTACCTTGATAGTTTACTCAGGAAAAGAGTCATGAAAAAAACCCAGTAAACTATATGGTTGACACATGTAGAGCAGGATCTGCTTACCCATCTAGAGCACCTGAGTTCTCCCTTGGTTATCTATCAGTGTATCACCTCTCTTTTATTAGCACTAAGTTAAATTGAATTTAGTGATTATCTTAAAATATCTATATAATTGAGTTTTCAATTCCAAAATAATTATTTGAGGTGGCACAAGTCTTTTTCTGTTGAGTTGTCATGGTCAAACAATTTTATCTTTATACCAGGCCATGGTTATATAACTTTTGCAACCACTTCTGATCTCGGTTGCTTTCATTTTGAATAAGAAGTCTGTTATTGCGTCTAATCTTTTAACTCTTTTTTTTTGTAATTTGATTTGGACAAAGCAAACGTGTCTGGATTTAAGGGTTGATGGTTTTTTGAGAGACGTGTATGTTTTGAGAAACAAATATTATTATATATTTACAAAAGTACTTTTAATTGACGTTTACCACTCATCTTTGTTAGTCATATTTGTTAAGTTATGTCATGTGACTTTAAGATTGGGAAAATATTATATAAGAAAGTGAACATCCAGGTGTCTTCACACCTACAACATTCTGTTATTTGATATTGTTGTTTTAGAGATGAACAGAAATATAGGAATTTGACAAACATGGTATACAGATAACAGATTTATTAGTTTAAAATCTAACATAAATTGTATCTCAATTATTAACACTTCCCCAGTTAAAAAAGATTTGACTGTTTTAATACAGATTTGTTTGTGGGAGAGAAGCTATTACGTAAAACTCATTTGAAAAGAATAATAGCATTAGATAGTTTGCTTGTGCATGAATCTTTTTATGAATGCATTTTAAAGCTAATCATTTATACCGTTGTTTTATGGCATAAAATGGATGTCCATGCCTTTCTTGGTCTGTTTGACGTTTATTTCTAACATTTTCTAATTGATAGTTATTGATTTCACAGGAGAAATATAAATTGCTTGGTAT